GGAGGATTGATCGGGATTTTCAAGATTGAGCGGTCACTCCGGGAATGGGTTCCTATGATGCTTATAGTTGTCCGGGTAGAAACGCTTAGAACAATCCCAATAGCCATCTTATTTGGTTTTACTGCTCCTGTCCCCGCATGTTGATTATTACCCCGAATAGATAATGGTACTTTACTGTTTCAGCTTCTATTCTCAGGGGGTGCGAGGGTTCGTTATGTTATTTGGGGGAGGGGATTTAGCACCAGGGAGTGTTGGGACATTTTAGGCTAAACCCAAAGGGTCCATGTAGGTATATGGGATATACTTGGGCCTTAAAGTAGGTATATGGGAACCCCTTTTGGCCCTAAGTATATACCATATACCTACATGGACCCTTTGGGAAAGGTTCTCAGGGTTTAGGGTTGTCAGTTTACAAGGCACATCGGGCTTAAGGCTCGGTGCCACAATCCATAATCACTTCCCACTAATGAAAAACCCCGTACCCGGCCCCTAAACATGGACACTTCCCATAATACGGTGTTCTGAACACTCATTTGGGGGTGCTTTGGGGGGACGTCATTTTTGGGCAGAAAGGGATCAGTAGTTTTGGGGTCAAGCGTGGGATTAAGAGAGCCCCCATGTTGGGGAATCTGGTATTTGGCGGGTACATAATGGCAGCCCTATACTTTGCAAATACCGAGTTTGGGTTGAACTCAAAATCCTAAATAAACCGTGAGCCCCTAAAACCATGAACCCTAAACCTGAAACCCTAAACCTGATCATCTGCAGAGAAAGAGGTGAGGTTCCCACCCCAAAATGGGGTTTAGGGTTTAGGGTGTTTCAGGTTTTTAGGGTTTGGGTGTTTAGGGTTCAGGGTTTTGAGCTTAGGGTTTCGGGTTTGGGGCTTACCCAGTAGCAGAATCTGTCCCTGACAACCATCAACCCTACATGACCTATGTGCCCCCTATATCAGCCCAAAACGGCCTCGTCCTAGAATATACAGTCCCCCTGAAGCAGATAGAATATGGGGTATATGGGGATCTTATTTACAATATATCCAAAGCCATATTCTATCTACTTAAGGAGGATTGTAGACCCGCATTGATAAGCCTCCTCCACTGAATCGGGATCTCATAGGGATCCTATTGCTAAGGCCCTTAAAAGGATGGGGTTGATTAATCACGGGTTTACATGAACTTTGGGACTGACGGCCTAGAACCTCTGTGCTTGGCATTCCAAAGGCCAGTCCTCAAGCTCTAACAAGGATCCCTATGAGAAACAAATTCTGGTAAACCTAAACCCAGAATTAGGAAACCAAAAGCTATCATGTGGCTTTTTCATGGTTCTGATTTGAGGGGGTGCGTTGACAAAGCTCCTGTATAATTCCTACAGTTTGCCTAACCCACCAGAAAGAAGTGCACCAAATCATTTCTAAACTTTCCGGAGCTACTGTGAACAGAAAGGGTTTTAGCAAGACGAGGTGACATAGCAGCCTACACCGGTATCAATATTATAGTCCTAGAGCGCCTGTATATTCATGTAAAAGGTACTTCAAATTGGATCTGAAAATGATGCTCGTAATTGGCCCCTACATGACATATTCTCTATATAAGCCCTACTTATAACCCTAAACCCTAAACCGATTCGCCATTGTTTGTGTAAGAATCCCTCCGAAGCCCTATGTAATCCCTATATGGGAGGTTCCCAAAATTAGGGTTTAGGGTTTTGGGTTTAGTTTGGGGGTCCCTATAATAGGGAGTATAGTGTATTGGGTCTATATCGGGGTCTCCCCATTGAGGGCAAATTCCACATATCCCCTACAGAACTATATGTACTGCCTTTAAACCTTTCTTACCCCTAAACTTTAAGCACATCTATGTAGGTAGGGCACTACCGGAGACCTATACCCTAAACCCCAAACCCAACGACCTAAGCCCTAAACAGTAAACTGATAACCCTAGACCCGAAGCCCCAAACCCTAAACCCTAGATCCCAAGCCCCAAAGGCTTCTGGTTGGCAGCCTTCATTTGCAGGAGTCCACTAGCCATGGTCATGGGAAGTGAGACGAAATTCCCAGGGCCTAACCGGCCCAACCATGGGGTTTAGGGTTCTGAAGAGTTTAGGGTCTAGGGTTTAGGGTTTAGGGTTCTGAAGGTTTAGGGTCTAGGGTTTGCGGTTTAGGGATGAGACCAGTATTTTTGTAATGTGCCTATATACCTGGCCCCTAAAACCTTCGAACCCTCACATCATCCATTTATTTCATGTCATGCTCCATGTCCTTTCCCAATTGTTCGTGAACTTTTTTGGGGGTACAAAAGTCTACATAACACGTGTGAAGCAAAATCCTTACATACTTCATATAGTATATATATATACAACCCTTGTATACTCTCTAAACCCTAAACCACATTACTCCTGACGCCAGCTGAGGATGCACTTGACGCCCCCATCTACGCCTGTCAGAACGGAACTGTGTTTCAGGCGCCTGAAAAAAAAGAAGGTACCTAGACCGGGTAATACCCAGAACCCTAAGCCCTAAACCCGAAGCCCTAAACCTTAAACCTTGGTTTAGGGTTTACCCTTTTTCTTGTGGTAATAGTGGCTATGAATATTTGGGAGGCTCAGGTTAGTCTTAGGATTCCAGCTTCGGGGTTTAGGGATGAGGGGTCGGAATTTGGAAGGAGGATGGTTCATGCCATTTGTGTTGCTAGGTTGAAGTTTAGGGTTTAGGGCTTTATTTATTAGGGTTTAGGGCTTAGGGTTCCGGATTTGGGGCTCAGGGTTTAGGGCGGAAAAGGCGGATACTGACCCACTGATCTGTTGGTTGATGCTGTAAGGGCCACGGACGACAGGTTTGCAGTTCCAGCTTCAACACTTCTGCAGCTACAGCTGCTACACCCAAAGCCTTAGACCTAGAAGCGCAAACCTAAGAGAAGTCTCATCCTTATATATCTCTCTATTCAACCCCATAGTTGCGCGCTCTACTCTTGCATGAAACTGAACCGACTGGGGCGCTGGCGCGTCAACCCCGAAGCCTAAGCTCTAAACCCTACGCCCTACACCATGAACCCTAGGCCCTAAAAGGTTTAGGCTTTAGCCCTAAACCCCACACCCTGAACCCCAGGGTCGTGAACCGTTATCCAGAAGCTTGGAACTCTAAGTCCTAAACCTTTTCATGCTGCACCTTACGAAGCCATCAAGCTGTCTAGGTGCACACCGAAGCCGGCGGCACAATGCCAGGAGGTGAAGATCATTCAAACCCTAAACCTTAAAGCTTGAACCTTAAACCCCAATCCCTGAACCCTAATACCTAAACTCTACCTAAACCCTAATACCTAAGCCCTAACCCCTGAACCCCACTCTAAGTGGAGTAAAAGAGCAATCAAAGAATGATTAAGCCACTATGGGATTCCGTTCAGGGTTTAGGGTTTAGGGTTTAGGGTTTAGGGTTTAGGGTTTAGGGTGTAGGGTATGGTGTATGGTGGTTTTTTTTTTATGAGTAGCTCAAAAGGTAGGATTCTGTTGTGGGCTTCTGTGAGTGCGTGTGTAGAAGCTTTATAGGAATATTCGTGAGTGTAGATGGTGGGTGCCCAGGTTGGGGGCCACGAATAGAAACGATGGGTCATATGAGCCATAGTCTAAACTCCTTAAAGGCTGGCGATCTACGGGAATATATAGGGGACTACTATAGGGGTTATTAAGGGGGATACTAGGAGTTTAGACAGTAGGTCATATATGGGATGATCAAAGGACTTGGGTGCAAGTTTCATGAGGGTGCACAGGGCAGAATTTTAGATACTCCCAGGTGGAAACGTGATGATTCTGGAGCATGTGCTGACATCCGATGCCCAGTTTCTGGATCAGCCCGATAGTTTGGGGGGGGGGGGTATCGCTGATGGATACATTCTGTTCAACTCAAGCTGCAGCTACTGCTACTACTTTGACAATTTACATGGCTATTATTCTTGCATCGTGAGTATTATGTGACCGAGAGTATGGTACTTACTGTTTCGATGAGCTCTACGGTGATGTTTTCTAGGACTATTACTTGGGTACGGCCCCGAATTCAGTAACAGCTGGTTAAGAATCCCAAGGGCTCCGGTCACCTAAGTAATGGGAACTGGGTTCTATATATCCTATAGCTACATAGCCCAGTAACCTACTATTTAGGTAACTGGGAGCTTCAGGGAATTCCAATATGACTATAAAGGGCTCTACTATGACCTCTCGCATAGCTCGTCATTGGGTGGGTGCAGTACGCAACCTAAACCCTAAACTCTACACATATATATATATAATATTATATATATGTACCCGTATATCCTACATATTAAGATGGTTAGAGGGCTCCTAGTTTGGAGGGCTGGATTCCCAAATGAGCCATGGTGTAAACTCCTCATGTAGGGGGTTGCATAGGGTTTGGGGCTTGGAACTCCTCAAAGGGGGTTGTCTATGCGGAGTATATCAGGGAGTGTTATCGGGGTTACCAAAGGCGATATCCGGAGTTTAGATCATAGCCCAAATGATGTTGACGTCCTCCTTCGGGTTCGGGATTTGGACGCAACGGCGCAGTCAAGATGGTTGCTAAGAAGATAACCAGATCATGTTAGGATAATTGGCGTCCTTCTAAAAAAAGGCCTCCAAACCCTAGAGCTTAAAACCCTAAATCCTAAGTCAAGGGAAATAGGTAAAGGTCCCTCGGAAGACTGATCCGCAGGATGTCTTTCCTAAGGCTCGAAGATGAAACCCATGCCTGGAAGATTATCTGGGTTGCTGTTACGGTTTAGGGTTTAGGGTTAAATTCAGTTGCCATAATATGGGGTATACGGTATACAGTAAATAATGGTTTCCTTGCTATCGCCTTTTAATTGAACTTTCTTTGCCTAACAGCAACCCACTTTCAAGACACCCTAAGCCCTAGACCCCTAAACCCTAAACCCCTAAGCCCTAAACCCAGAAAATTCAGGTTTCATGGCCGAACGATTAACAAGTACTACTCCTACTACCTGCATCTGAACTCCATGGCGTCGCTCTCCGAAGGAGATGTGGTGAGCAACTCGCGGTTAAGGGTTTAGGGTTTAGGGTTTAACGGGTTTAGGGTTTAGGGCTTAGGGTTTAGGGTTTAAAGGGTTTAAAGGGTTTAGGGTTTGAAGGGTTTAGGATTTAGGGTTTAGGGTGGGTCTTCAGCACACGCGCGTCACTTCAAAGTTTGAGAGGGTTGGAAAAAGCTCGAGCGATGATGGACGAATTAGGTTACTGAGATTGGGGGCTGTCAGGATGCATACCTTCGGGGATCCAAATAGCCCAAAGTAGGTACTATTTGTAGATGTGCGGGCCCCATGTAGGTATGTGTTTTTTCAACTTAGCTCTCAAGTATGAGACCCTTCTAAGTCGGAGTAATACACGTGTCGTGTTTCTTACAACGCTCAGACACAGATGGAATCAATTCTTGATTGGCTTTTCGCAATCTTGTTTATAGGACGCATGAGCAGCCCAAAGATGCGATGTTTACCAGTATTTCGTCATCAGAGGCAAGGGTACAGAGATCGGTACGATGGGGCAGACTGGCGAGACATCCTTCACCCACCTGCACTTTGAAACTCGTTTGGTGGGGTATTGCTCCTACCAGTTTCAATATGCCAACAATCGGCAGGCCTCCCCGATGCTAGCTTGCACATTTGCACTGTTTTTTTTTTAGTTTGTTGTGTGCGCACTTTTCAACCAGGAGAAGGAAGAAGCAAATCAGCCGTTGAAATCAACCTTCCCTGAAAAGCAGTCCTGATAGTGCACTATAGTCCATATCTAACCCATTATAGTAGTTTCCATTTTCCATTATTCCAACATACCCCCAAGATGACGTTCTTGGCCTCCGTACATTGTCCTGATAGTATCAACCCTAAACCCTAAAAACCCTAAACCCTAAAAACACTAAACCCTTAAAACCCTAAACTCGTAAAACCCTAAACCCTAAAAACCCTGAACCCTAAACCCTAAACCCTGAAGCCTTACATTGGCATGTTTACGCTGGGAGTTGATGCTAAGCAGCCGTCGTAGGCACAGGAAGATCTCTAGGCCGAAGCAAAAAAACCTTGCAATGTATTTGAGGGTTTAGGGGTTAGGTTTATAGGGTTTAGGGTATATAGGGGCTATAGAAGGCCAATGAAAAACGAAATGGAAGCTACTATAGTAATATTGTAAGGATTACATAAGGATATTGGGTGTAGGGTTTAGAGTTTAGGGCCATTACCTTGAAACGCGGTATAGGGTTTAGGGTTATTTCCACGCGCCAGGGGTGTCAACTGCAAGTAGAGTAAAACATTGCCTTCAAAAATGACTCCCCGTAGGGGATGAGACAATGGATCCGTAAAGTACTCCCTGAATTGCTTATACTGTTGGTCCTAGATGTCCTGCATGACTTGCACCTTACTATAGTATTGTAGTCCCCAAGGCAGAAGGTACTTCGGGGTTATGCAAGATGTTTAGTATTCACCGAATGACCCCCAAATCCTAAACCCGACAGTAATTAGTCCTTATGTGGCTCATGTGAGTATGATCTACCCTAAACCCTAAACCCTAAACTCTAAAACCAGAACCGTCCCTGAGCCCTGAACCCCAAAGCCTATTCCGCCATGCTCTATTAAGCGCCAGGGATATGTTTGCGTTTGGGGTTTAGGGTTATGTTTGGGGGAAACTTAAACCCTGAACTGCCTGGCTTTTTGGGCTTCAGGTTTAGGTTGCGCTGACCCAATTTGAAATGAAGGCTCTGAGTTTCAGAGTCATTCATGTTGCCCCTCTTGTACCCTGTAAACGTTCTGTCCCAAGCCCAGGTCCATAGGTCCCCACCCTGAAACTGGGCCCTATTTAGGGTTTAGGATATAGGGGTAATAATATGGTTATATTGGGTTTCTATTGGGATAATCGAAAATAACATTGAAAACTATAGGGGGTATATAGGTGTTATATAGGGGTTATAGCGACCCTGAAACTGGTTGCTGACCGAGGACATCAAGCTGTAACACTGGCTTCGACCCGCACGTCCACCCGTACTTGCTTCTCGATGAGCATTGAGGGATGGAGTTCTGCGTCTGAAACACCAGCTCTGTACCAGCAGTTTACAAGAAACCTAGAACCATCATAAGTGTTTCAGTGGTTTCCTAGGTACTACACTGGAGATACACGGTGTCAGATAAAGACGGTCTTGAAATGTTCTTTGATTCTGCCTACGCAAGGCAGTCCAAACGCAAATCCCCTAAACCTTGACCCTCAGAACTCTAAGACCCTAAAGCGCGGAAATTAGAGAATCTTATGTCTAAACCCTGAACCCTAAACCCCAAACCCTATACACGAGACCCTAAGCCCTATACCCTAAATCTTAGAACCTAAACCCTAAAACCTAAACCCGAAGCACCGACCCCAAACCCTTATGGGTACCCTAAATCTTAGATCCTAAACCCTAAACCCATTATCCCTATATAATCCTTATGATATTTCTATAGTAGTTTCCATTTTGTTTTCCATTATCGCTATAGCCCCTATATACCCGAAACCCTATAAACCCTAAACCCTCGAAGTCAGTCATCGGAAGCGAAGACTTGCGTAAGAAGGATTTCCGAGCATGTCAAGGCAGCTTGTTGGGCCCATTGGAGGGTTATATAGGGTTTATATAGGGATAATGGAAAAGAAAATGGAAACCACTGTTTAGGGTTTAAGTTTTAGGGTTTGGGGCTTAGGGGTTTGGGGTTTAGGGTACAAGGCTTAGGGTTTAGCAGGGTATAGGGTTTGGGGTTTAGGGCTTTGGGGGTTTAGGGTTTAGGGTTTGGGATTTAGGGGCGTGTGTGGGCTTATCCTGATTAAAAACCCTTGGAGACCTTAAACCCTAAACCCTTGGGAACCTTTAACCCTAGATGCACAAACAACCTTGATTTTCCCGATGTCGCCCAGGTTTGTCGGTGGACAGAGAGATGGCCAGAAGTACCTATACGAGGTGCGGGTTCTTACCGATTTAGCTGGTAGTTCAGGGTCTAATCGGGTTTAGTGTTTAGGGTTGAAGCTGCGGCTAGAAGTCGTATAAAAGTAATAGTGTACCTATAGCTGCTTCTAAGCTTGCCCTAGTTATATAATCTCACCTGTTACCAATCACTACCCTTGGACCTGCCAGTAGGTTTTGGGTGGGTGCACGTTCGCTCTTCAACAGTGAGTGGATATGATTGCGGCACAGCCTCAGATTCAGGGTCAATCCTAAGCCCTAAACCTTGAACTCTAAACAAGAAACCCTTAAACCCCTTAACCCTACAAACCCTATAAACCCTAGAAGCCCCTAAACCCTCGGCCCAAGGGACATTCTGTCGGACACTAGTCTCTGTAGCGCTTCGTTTGGGTTTCCGTGTTTTCTTCGCGGAGCTGTGAGTTACGGCACTATACCAGACGCCCACCTTGATTAGCCTTGCTTGACCTTGAAGCGTTTAGGATATAGGTGTGGGTTCAGGGTTTAGGGGTTGGGCTTCAGGGGTTCGGGCTTAGAGATTTAGAGGAAACCCAATCTTAACCCTAAACCCACACTTCTAGCGGGGACGGTTTTGCACCCAAGGGTATCCATCTCCACCCTGAAGCCGCATACAATCTCTCATGATGACCCCACCCTGAAACCCTAAACCCTGGACCTTAAATCACCTAAATCCTAAACCCTGATTCCTGAATCTAAGCCCTATAGGCCCTAGGTGCTAAACCCTCAACCCACCCCAAACCCTAAACCTTGAGTCTTACACCCCAACTCCCTCGTCCCCAAGCCCCAGTACACCATTGGGAATGGAAAGCTTCTATGTGCGAACCCTAAACCCTAAACCCTTCACGCTATAGTCCCCCTTAAGTAGATAGAATATGGGATATATGGGGATCTTACTATAATTTACCCAAAGCCATATTCCATCTACTTAAGGGGGACTATAAACCCTAAAGCCTAAATGCCAAGCCCGTAACCGACAAGCCTTGGAGGTGGAGCCGATACCTGGATATGATTATGCCGTGCGGTACAATGCCACGTGGTTAAGCTTCGTGTTCCTCTTACAGGTAGAAACCCAGGAACCCCTGAACCCCTAAACCCCTTAACCCCTAAACCCCCAGGGCCCCCCCGAAAAAGAAAGATCCTCGAAGAACCCTTGGCTTCCCTCCTTAAACCCTAAACCCTCTGGGGAGGCCCCTGCGACTCTGCTATCATTGTACTTTTACTCCCCAAATCCCAAAGAATCAGATTCATGCCGTAGGCACCCCCCCCCCACAACCGGAACCCAGAATTCAGTTGAACTCCATAAAGAGGGTTATCAAGGGAGTACTTGGAGCTCCAGTGGTAGTATAGAAGCAGGGTATAAGTTCCCCAAACTAGGCTATAGATTGTTTCATTTAGATTCCTACTTCTTAAATAAGTATGGATACCCATGTGTTCCCATGATTTTACAAGACCCTAAACCCTAAACCCTAAACCAGCATGGAACAGAGACAGGGCCTCTCGAAGTTGGGGTCATCGGCATAGGTTTTTTGGGGGGTTTACTAGGTACCCCAGTAGTACCCTTTTTCCCCTTTTTTTTGGGGGGGTCTCCTTAGTACAACTGAATAGTAGGAAAAAGGGTACCCTTATTATTTCGGGTTTACTGGGGAACCTAGTTTAGTTAGCGGGGTTTAGGGGTAAAGGCTTTGGGTGTGGGGTTTAGGGTTTAGGAAAGGCTTAGGAATACAGAGAACCGAGAGGGTGCAGCGTCGGAGTTTTTGAACGCTGCGTGGGGCCCAAAGGGGTGATGTATGGGGCTCAGGGTTTTTAAAGGTTTTCTGGGCTTAAGGTTTCTTCTCGACTGAAGCCCACATGAAATCATGTGTCACGGCTTTGTCAGCCAATCTAACGAGCTGAGCTGAGGCTACCCGCGGGCACATGGACATGGATGTGATAAGAACAAGCCTCGGAGATGTTCACATCGGAACGAGACAGAATCTGGGTGCAAAGTAGCAAGCCGGCAAACCCTACGCCGTAACCCTAAACCCTGAAACCTGCCCCTAACCACGGCGTGGTTTCGGGCGCTGGAAGCTTCCTGGAAGAGATTACATACCATCCGGTTTGGGTTCCTGCTTTAGGGCACAGGGCACAGGATTTTTGTTGGCGTTCCGGACATTTTGCCGTCAAATATGTTCGTCCAACACAGGCGCCAATTTCTTGGGTGCCAATTTCTTTTGCGCCTCGATAACTGAACCTGAAGCTGGGCTGCCACAGCGTTCTGGCAATCGAAGATGTTTTGCCTTCGTGGATTCATTCCACCACTGTTTGCTGAGTTGTCCTGCTCCGACTTATCGCTGCAGCGCAAAAAAAATTGAATCTGCGCCAGGCGTTGTGTTGTGGGCTGGGCTTGTGATTTCCGAGCAGAAAGGCCGAGCGGAAGCCCTGTTGCGGTGCTAAACGCCACGTGTTCCGAAGGGCGCTTGAAGATCTCTGGGCGAGCATTCAGCGCATCACTTCCCACGCAGTGTTGTTTCAACTGAGCTTCGTTGCTTCCATCATTATTCGTGTTTCAGCTACATTACTGTAATTTGTGCAGCCTGAACGCGGGCGCTGAGACCATGCAGCTGTTACCGAGGCTGCTGGGGTGGAGCCAAGTGCGAAGGCCGAGACACACTTCCACAGTTTTCAACACAGCCCTAAACCTTATAATCCCTAAACCCCGACCATTCCATGTTCGGGCAAAGGTCCGAAACGTCGTTTTTTCTTTAAAATTATGTCGTTCGTAGTAGGCAATGAGGGACTGGAGCCCCATAGACTCCCGTATACGTGAACGTTGCGGGTAGTTCTTCCCCATAAAGATTTAGGCCATAAAGTACCCTAAAACCCCTAAACGCTAAACCCTAAACCCCCAGGAATGTCAACATCAACACCATCGAGTCACTGGACGATTTGGCCAACATCACGACCTGGATGGCTTTGCGACCAGGCAACTCAGTTTACGGGTTTAGGGTTTAGGGTTGCTTTGCGGCCAGGCAACTCTATCTGAACGCTTCCCCTCCCACGTTTAGGATTTCAATGCCAAATAGGCATATGGGTGGTTGTCGGAATCATGGTCCATTTTTGGGTACCTTAGATATTAGGTACCGTATTACAATAGGGATCCAAGAAGGGACCGACAACCACCCATATAGAAAGAACTACGGGTATGGCTAGGTACGGTTGCTTGGGGAGCCTCTCAACATAATCCTTGCAAAATTCCGCAACGAGGACCTCCGACAATCTCCTCATTCTTCGCCTATAAGTCTAAAGCAAGTAGATAGAATATGGCTTTGGGTATATTGGAGTAAGATCCCCATATACTCTATATTCTATCTGCTTAAGGGGGACTATACGCCTATCCTCACTGAGGTGGCCTCCTTGCCTCGAATTCTTCTGAGCTTTTCACACGCGCAGTGGGGTTCCGTAAGTGTCTAAGGACCCAAATAATAAATAGCAATAGTAGAAAGAGTAAGAGTAATAGTAATAGTAATAACAGTAGGGCTTGAGGTCCCAAATATTATAGATATCATAGTATTTGGGCCCTAAAACCCACTTATTTGGGTCCTTGCACCCTTAAGGGTTGGAAGAACTCGAAAGCGCAAACCCATTGCCGGGGTTTAGGTTTAGTTTCTTCCAGATTTTGGGACCTCGTTATCTTCAGGTGTCTGAAGATCATGGGTACTTTGAAGTTACACGGCCGCTTTCCTTGGCTGCGGATTCAAGGTCTGATCTAGGTTCTCCGGCACCGTTTGGGGTTTAGGTTTCAGGGTTTAGGGGTTCGGGTTTAAGGGGTTTGGGTTAGGGGTGTAGGGTTTACCCATTTTTTCTTGTCCGGCTTTTGGCGGCTTACGTGTCATACAGGAAACGAATGCCAGCACATTGAGCATTCCTAGCCCCCTAACATGAAATCTGTGCCCCACTCGATTCAATTTGGGCTCTCAAAAAGTACATGTATTTCAAGAGGCGAGGGTGATTAATACCCTAAGCCCTCAACCCTAAACTGCGTGGGGAAGGGGTGCTTCACTTTTCAGCTGCTGCTGGTGAGTTGTTCAGTGCCAGCTCGTCAACAGTTTTCCAGTACATGCTTTACGCTCCAAGTTGATGTGAGCTGCAGTCGAAACTCCTTCAAGCAGGTTTATACAGGGGATTGTATAGGGAGCATTATAGGGGTTATCAAGGGGGATACTAGGAGTTGAGGCAATGGTTCATATGCATTTGTTTCCTTCAAAACCCTCGATATATCTATATATATATATGTATATCCCTCTTCAACCGAAATCCTAATATGTACCCATATAACCCTTTTCAACGGACCGATCCTAAACCGTAAACCCTCAGCCCTTAAATCCCTAAACTATTATGAAGTCCTTCTAAAGATGCCCTAAACCCTGCCATGTTTGGGCAGGCTACTTCATCTCCACGACTGAGGACACGTACACTTACGAGTTCCACTTAAAGTCACGGCCAGCGTTTTATGAAGGATGTTTAGCAGTGTTTCGTCCCGATCTCGTGCCCCTACTATCCTTAAGGTTCAGGGTTTAGGGTTATTGAAGGTCAGGGTTTCCAGGTTGAGTTGAGGCTTGTTTTTTATTGCTGTATATCCTTCCTTATATCATATCTGTAAACCCTGCAAAAGCCCCACGGCCCCCACAAACCTAAAGGCCCCTACAGCCCCCCTTAAGCCCTATAAACCCTAAATCCCCAAAAGCCCTATTCAACTTATAAGTCCTAAACGGAGCCTAGGTTTGTCGAGGTGTATGACATCTATGGTCAGGGCATTCGGGCCGAGACTGCTCAGACATCTGTGGATTGCCCAGCAGCAGCAGGGGTTTAGGGTGTAGGGTGCAGGGTTTAGGGTTGGGGTTTACTGCTTGGGGTGGTATTATAACTGCTATTATTGTAGCCCGTACAATGCCGAAATATTATTTGTAACACCAGTTCCCCTACTACCCCTGTCTAGGTTCCCCTTTAGTTAACCGTAATTTTCCCTAAAACGCCTTGACTAAGGCAGGGGAACCCATCCCTAAGGGTCCAAGGACCCAAACAATAGGGCTTCAGGGCCCAAATATTAAGATTATAGTATTTGGGCCCTCAAGCCTTACTATTTGGGTCCTTGGACCCTGGGAGCATGAAACTTTCCAAGAATCAATAACTTAGGTTGGGCCCCCACCCACTAATAGTGACCAGAAGAGGTAATGGTAATTAGATTAGGGTCCTTGTATATTCCTAGTATACCACTCTTAGTGGCTGGGGGCCCAACCCTATCAATAAGCGCCTGGCTCAGACCACCATGGCCTCAGAGCCCTCGACTGGCGAATCCACAACAGCTGTGCCTGGTGCAATTAGTTTAGGGCTTTGGGTCTAGGGTTTAGGGCTTTGGGTTTAGGGTTTAAGGCTTTGGGTTTAGGGCTTTGGGTTTAGGGTTTAGCGTTTAGCGCTTTGGGTTTGGTGCTTTACAAACCCTACTTAATCCCTACATGACAGTTTCTCCGTGGGCCTGACAGAAATTTGAAGACCCATGAACCCACAAATAATCCCCATTACGGCCACAGTTGTATTCCCAATGGCATCTTGTGTGTAATCACAACATCAGCTATGGCAGTAGTCCCTGCATCATGTGAATTGAGGGCATCATTCCCTACGAAACTCGCCGGGCAGGGTATTTTAAACCCAAAGCCCTACACCCTAAGCCTAGGCCCTATTTTCATAAACCCTACACCTTAAGCTCTAGGCCCTGAACCCTACACCCTAAACCCCACTCCAACACCCTAAACTTAAACCCTAAACCCCAAACTCTAAACCCTAAAACCCCTAAGCCCGCAAGCGCTAGCCCAAGGGGTCCATGTAGGTATATGGCATACATATACTTGGGTCTTAAAGTAGGTATATTGGAACTTCTTTGGACCCCCTAAACCTTAAACCGGGCGTAGGTGTCTGCAAGCCAAGCCGTCCGAGTCAGCAGTTTCCAATCCGCACTGCTGTGCGGGGCGCTTCTGACGCTTAGGGTTTAGGGGCTTATAGGGCTTATATATTATAGGGTTTATAGGGTTTCTAGGGTTTAGCGTTCTGAAAGAAGCTTTCCAACTGCTTGTGAATCGAAGATTTCAGGGTTTCATGGTCTCTTTAAGTAAAGGGATTATAAGTTAAGGGGATATCCAGGTTTCAGGGAGTTATAGGGATATCCAGGTCTCAGGGTTTAGGGAGTTTAGGGCTTAGGGTTGAAATTTAGGCTGTTTAGGGCTAGCTCAGCCTTTGGGGTTTAGGAAGGGGCCTGTGATTCTGCATGGTAAGCCGCCAGTGAGATAAGGGATGGCTTGAATGTAGGTTGGGGGCGCAGGGGTGTCTTTCAGCCTCAGACTCTACACGCCCCCTTGCCTGATATGAGCTGTAGTCTAAGCTCCTTGAAGGGGGTTATAGAAGGACTATATAGGGGACAGTCAGAGAAGTGAAACTTCAATGTTCGACCCCTCACCATACCCGAAAATCTGACACGCCATAAATTCCCCGAAGCCCTAGTTGAGGGTCTGAGGCACACCCGAACCCTGTGCTGAACACAGCTTTTCCAGGTACCCCAGTATTACCTTTTTTTAGGGGTCTTCTAATTAAAGCTGAACATTAGAAAAAAGGTTTCCCGCGCTATTAAGGGATGACTGGGGAACCTTGTTTTCAGAGGCCCAAAGCAGGCCGTTGCAAAGAAAAGCCAGATGCACAAAGCAGGCCATTGCAAAACAAAAGCAGATGTGTGGAGCTCAGACGAAATCAGAGCGGTCTGGTCAGGATCTGGGGATTCCTCTGAATCCATTGTAATGCCGGTCGCTACATTTGAGTTCCGAGTATAACACGGGTCCCTACTTGAATTTCCTCCAATTTGGGAACAATAGTTTAGGCCAAGTCCCTTTTGTTTGTACTTCCGACTATGCCATCGCGGCATTGAGTCTGCATGGTAGGGATGCAA